TACCTGACAGCAGACTAGTTCATTCCTGCTCCACAGTAGCCGAGATGTCACGTGAAAAATTAACGACTCAAACCCAGAGACCCACAGTTATGAGTCCTGAACTAATCAATTCTGTTTCCTGTGCTGACGGAGCCCATGCAGCTTCTGTGTAACGACTGAACGTAAGAGTCCAAGACTATTCACGCATGCGTGAAAATGACGAATCATTCATTGAGACAACCCGTTCCTCCTGAGTCACATACAAGATTAGGTCAAATGAACGAAATGTTCTTTGAACGACACAACACTAAAATGAAGCAGTTCATAAACAGTGACCAGTAGCAAAGTTACAAGGAGTCAAAAGGTGGATGAAATGCTGCCAAGTTTTAAGTTTTCTCTGTGGCTGACACATTAAACCAAAGTTTCTCCAGATGTAGGTTTTCTTAGCCACAAGTAAAAATGAAAACCCTTTCAGATTTCATGGATTCTAGCAGCACCACACCAGTTCAAAGGGTCTAAATAGAGCAGTTAGTGGGGCTACAGTGAAATCACTGCACAACAAACAAACAAAGACCTCAACAAAGTGATCAAAAGTCAGACAGACAGACAGATTGGCAAAACAATGGTAGCAATGCAAGTGTTATACTGGATTGTAGTGTTGAAAAGGTGGCTAAGCCCCAAGGTGAACCTTTCAATTCCAACTCTACTCTCACAGCTATGGTGATGAGTTTAGTCTTCTGACAGAAAGACTGAGATCGAAATGTGTTTCCTTCACAGAATGTTTGGGCTCACCCTTAGAAACATGGTCAGGAGCTCAGACGTTCAGAAGCAACTGCTGCCCTTTTGTATTGCAAAGAGCCAGTTGAGGTGGTTTGGGCATCTGGTCAGGATGTATCCTGGAGCCCTCCCTCTGGAGATTGTCTGTGCACATCCAACTGGGAGAAGACCACTGGGCAGACTGAGAACATGCAGCAGGAATTACATATTGCACATTCTGCCTTAGGAGCCCCCAGAAAGAGCCAGAGGATGTGGCTAGGAAGAGGGCCATCTGGACTTCCTTTCTTAGCCTGCTGCCACCTCAACCTGGACTCTGTTATGTCCCTGAAAGTAGATAAATAGAATGATGGATGATTACAATTTATGACATAACTGATTAGACAATGATGCTCATATTTCAGTTTTAAAACCTACCATTCAAGTTCAGGCTTGAGGCTCTGCTGAGGTTCACTGGGTTCATAACAGTACACCAGAGTATGTCTCAAGGGGAAGAAGACTGGGAAGACTAGAGTGTAGAGGTTGGTGGTGGGTTGTGCTTGTGGTCTGACAAGTGAAGGACACCCTCACACACGCACATATATATATATATATATATATATATATATATATATATATATATATATATAGCTTGATATACACAGCTCATTCATCAATTCTGACTCACCGATCTGTTCATGTGGAAATTAGGAAAATCAGTCATTGCCAGTCCTATCCTATTATGTATGACTTCTCTCTTGCCGTCACTGTTCTCTTTTTCTCACAGCTGAGGATTGAAGCTGTTTGTTGTTGCCATATTTAGGTCCAAGCTTCCATAGACTTTCACACAATTCAGCATCACTGACTAAAATATACCCTGAAACAATCTATCTTTACAATAATAAACACACTGTTTTGTGTGTAGTTTTGCGTAATTTCCTTTGTCACTTTTCACGTTTGAATTTTTTTAAGACTATAGCTCTAGTTCTGCCTTATCAGTTCTTTTTTTATAATCCACCGAGTGTCTGACAATGTTACAGGAGTGCCATGCTAAATCAGTGGAGATGTACGGAGCTGCTGGAGTCAGGATTTGGTTAGCCTAGCTAGCTAAGCATGAAGACTGGAGCCCTGGGGGAAACAGCTTGGCTGGCTTTGTCCTGAGGGAAAAGATGTGCCTATCAGCAGTGCTAAATTGATTAACATGTTGTATCTTGTTTTTTTGATCCGTACATAAACATAAATGTGAAAAGGGCCATTTGTGGTTGTAGGTTGAATTACGTGCTGTAACTACATATTGGTGAGAGGAGTTTGCTGGAGCAGCTAGCGGTTTTCAGTCCAGAAAGCAGCTGCTTTCAGCAAGAAGAAGGTTTAAAAGAAAAACATTACAAAGCCCTTAATAAATATGGTGTATTCAGAATTCCATGTGAAATGTTAAACAATTTCTGACTATTTCATGACTTCTGTTGTGGTCATGTAACACAAATGAACGAACCTAATCAAACTCAGGATTGACAAACTCTGACCGTCTACACTGGTGTTAAACGGTACTACAACGGTGGATACGATGTTGGTTAGCTTAGTCGGTGTTAACTTAATTGGAGTTGGTTTTTTTACAACAGCGCATGCTCCGTATTTCTCCAGAAGAATGGACGTTGATTGTGTCAGGATATGATGAATGTAAAGACACGTTAACGGCTAAATCTAATATTGTGGCGGCTGACAAAATATGTAATATGATTAAGATGTAAAGGTACAACTGCACACAAGGTCCATTGTAATAGGAAAAAACGAAGCCAGCGGAGAGGGGTAATAATCCAAGACAAAAATTTTTCCAAGATTGATCTACAAGTAAACAACTTGAATATTCTCTGACATTACAGTCACACATTTATGACATTTATACAAGGCTTCAACATCACACACACACACACACACACACACACACACACACACACACACATCTGCCGTGTAGCCTATTATGCATGCAGTGGAAAGTTATATTAGACTTTCCAATCGGGTTCAGCAGTGAGGAAATACTCGTGAGTTTAGCCCACAATCACTATCATGCACCTTAGAGACTTTGCCGTGGATTGGGCGTATTCAGAAGAAAACACCAGTGATTTGTGACTTTAATTTCAGGGAATTTCCGATTTTTCCGATTCTATTAAATTTGACACTTTCATGTAGAGTCTAGATTTTTTTCTCGGTTTATTAACCCCCACCCTGGCTCTGTATTTTTTGGACACGTAAAATAGTCAATCTAAACACATAGGAAAATTCAATTACAGCCTACAGATGGGCTACATCTAAGAAACTGTCCCATTAATTAATTAAGATCTCCTCTCTAAAATTACAGAGGTTGCAGGGCTCGCTGTACGAATGTAAATAACTTATTTCAGCTGCAACCGCAGTGGAACAAGGATGAAACCTAAATTTATTTTATCAAGTGGTGTATTAATATCCTACTTCTAATCATTAACACTGAGTACAGATGGTGTGGAGTCCACGTATACATAACCTGCTTGGAGCAGTTTAGAGATGCAGCGTAAACTGCCATGGCAACAGACCTCGGTTAACACCTATCCACCTGTGGTAGTATGGGTTAATCAGGAAGTTACACCCAACGTCACAAAGTTACTCCTGAAGTTACCTGGATAAGCCCCGCTTCGTAGTACAGGCCACTGTAGATAGTGGTAAAAACAAAACATGCTCCCTTTGCCTGTCTGAATATAGATTCTACCACCACTCACCCCCTATAACACCATATGCCAGTGTGTATACACTGTACTTGCTCTTGTGTAAACATATATACACAAAAGCTTGTTTGCACATTAATGCCCACTTTGTGAACACATGAAAACATTCGCGACTGAATATTATGATAGGTTTTTACCAGAATATGTTTTTATGACTAGTAAATATATAATACTAGAAATTAATATCTTATACACACAGTAATACATATGATCACATTACAGTAAAGGCGTTCTCATGCCCTGTACATAGTTGCATAACCTAAACAGAGCTATTTAAGACATTACAGGGTCATAGCAGAGCTATTTACAAGGCTATTACTTTCTGTTTATTTATACCATGGCAGGGAGCCTATATATGAATGGGATAAAAATATGCCTGGTTGACAAATGGCTCTTCCTCCATGTCTATCATCTCCTTTCTGTGGCCCTGCACTCTTCTTGTATCCTACATTGGACAACCCTGGGGAAGGGTTATATATATGTGCAAAGCTACAGAATATCACTGGTCAGCCATTGTTTTAGCAGTTGGAACCTTGAATGGGTGAATGTTGACATGTAGTGTTATGTCCCGCAATGCACGAATCCAGGTGGCACAGGTAAAGACTATATATTGCAAATGCAGACAAACACACAGGCAGAGGTACAATTGGGGCGGCTGTGGCTCAAGAGGTCAAGCGGGTTGTCGGAAGTTCAGTCCCCGACTCCTCCAGGGTGTCCACAATAGTCAAAACGGCAAATTGCCCAAATTGCCCACAATGGCTGTTCTATCGGTATATGAATGTGTGTGAATATTAGTTTCTGTTCAAGTACTTTGGCTCGTGTGTGAATGGGTGAATGTGATGTAGTGTAAAAGCGCTTTGAGTGTTCAGAAGACAGGAAGGCGCTATACAAATACAGACCATTACTTTTACAAAAACGCTAGGCAGTTTACTATGGTCGGAAGATAGCTGGGTCTGCAGGGAAACTAACACGGAGAAAACGCTGTCACAGGGAACAAGTAGATTCAGTCTGTAGTAAACAGGGCTGACTGTATAAAGTTATTGACCTAATTTAGAACATAAAGGATGTAAACGCAGTATATGTCTATGCAGAACGTGGGCTTTCACTGTGTATTTAATATTAGAGGATGTAAAGGGATGCATGGTGGTTCTGATTACTAACAGCTGACCAAGCACTGATGAGCACACAGATATTTTCATGCCTACTTTTATTTTTACCACCAGCCCATGCTGGAATCTGGGAACTCAAGCAGACTTACTGTTTTTGCTATGCTCATAAAAGTAATACAAAAACATATAAACCAGTCCACATACTTTTGACCATGTAGTGTAATTGGCCCGAACGTTTTCTGCCTGGAAAACATGAATGATTTTGATGTGTAAGGGTATTTGTTATGATCATTTTCTCGTGGTCATTTTCTATCAATTTAAAAAAAAACAAAAAAAAAACAACTATATTATTATTCATATTATTCATTATTTTACAACTGATTATGTTCTTCTTTCCCTGCAGGATTCGGCCCATGCACCCAGGTCAGAGCCAGCAGTATGTTATAAAGCCCAAATACTACCACACACACACACACAGACGCATGTCCAGTCCCATCCTGAGAGGCCGATCCCCCTTACAGTGGGGCACAGCCCTATCCATGGTGAGTAAGTCTCCCTACAGATCAGCTTTTTATTTTCATTTGGGTATGTTAATGATGTTCTTGAAGAGGGAACATTTCAGAAAACTGTGCTTTGGAAAAGATCTTGGAATGCATTGTACTGGCTTCCAGACAGCCATTGGTTTCCATTTATGTCAGTATGGTCAGAAAATGAACTTTAAGCTACTTGAGGTCCATCACAGTGAACATAATAAGTGCTCTTATTATTGCCAAAGCTTACTGGGCCTTAAAGATGAAACAGTCTGAAAATTTCACATCATGATTACAATGAAGTGATCACAGTCATCAGTATAGGCTGTATTGTTAAAATGTGCTGATACACACATGGAAACCATTTCACCAAGTTTCATATTGAAAACCACAAATACAATTAGCAGCACGTTTTTTTTGCATAGACAATAAAATAAAAACAGCCAATATCTTATGTAAACCATGACAGCCATATCAAAATGATTAAGCATTAAAATTAAATGTTATGAATTTATAAAGTATAATGCAATGGCCCCATGCTTAAGAAGACAGTGACAGTAACTGCAATGAGCTCAACATTTGATATAAATACAGAGTAGTCTTCTACAGGAGTCTGTAATAATGTTATGACTACTGCTAGCAAGTCAGACAGACAAACCATGACATGTTCCCTCATTCGGAAGTCCACATATCACGTAGTGCATTAAATGTTAACATCCTGCATTCGCTAGCCGCTGCCATTCAAGGTTCCCTCAGCACTTCTATAAAAACCAAAATACAACCACATGAGGACTAGGCTGAAAACGCTGTCACTGCCTTTCGCAATATTTTAATTGTCCCAGTACAAAGCCACGCTGAATGCTGCGTCTGGGAGACTGTTTGGGAGACTGCTAACTTTGGTTGATACTGGACTCTGTTTACTGTTTTTCAAAGCACGGTAATTGATTAAGGTTTTAATCATAATCATAATTCAAATTTGTAATGGTAATACTAACCCTTTTTACCGTGGTTTATGATGAAACTTACAGGGTAAGTTCCAGTGACTAGTGAACAGAGACTGCAGCTCTGCAGCTTCTCAACATAAAAGCGGAGCTACTGTGTTAACCCACCAAAAATACACACACTGACACACACACAAAACACAACTGCTGGCCTGAGCAATGCTAGACAGATAGCGAACAAAAATTCCAGAAAACCATATGTAAGGCTGACTGAGGCTTTACTGATGGTCGTTTCTGTAAAACTAAACAAAATAATAGAGCCCAACAGATATGACACTTTTAAGTCTGATACCAATTTCGATATTTGAGTATTTTAACATCTGATAGCTGATAAATCGGCCGATATTCTTCTCCCCTTATTTTAAGAAACATATAACATAAACAAAGACTATTCCTAACCTTTGTTATGTTGAGACTCACCAAGATACCATGACGTAATGCGGTTTAAAAATAAACTTGTATTGTTAGAAAAAGTACAACAAAATATTAAAGTTTTGATAAATAAGAGTCAAATGTATAAAACTACAGAACACATTTTTAAAATATCTGATTTATTATAAATTATGGAGTACTACTACTAATAAACATTAAATAGTATATGTATTGTGGGGGCCAGCGAAACTATAAAAAATAACAATATAGTACTACTAAAACTAATAATACTATATATCATCTCTCATGTCATTGCTATAATGGTAAACAGGGCTCTCCTACATAGCAAATATTATTTATATATATATTTTGTCATGCAGTAGTTATTACCTTACATATTGAATTAATCTAACACTACATGACCGTCTACAACGAGGACCTGCAACTGTGTGTTAGATACTTGTTCAGCTCACGTTTAATCATTTCTGACACGCCGACTGTAACTAGAGACACTACAGTGGAATCACTCTTTAATGTTAGCGCTCCTCCACTGATAAACAGGGCATTAGCTTTGTGGCTAATTTAGCAACAGGCAGCGTTATCTGCTGTTGGCGATGTTAGAAAATATTTAGAAGTCATAGATAAGAGAGAAATGAAGGGACCGGCCCCTAGAACTGCCAAACTGTTTCAAAACTAAATCTACAATCACGTCTGTCAGCAGCGTAGCCTCCAACACTAGGTTACCATAACATTAAGCCGATAATTACTCCAAAACGATAAATCGGTCGGCTCTACAAAATACAATACAAAGCAAATATCAGTATACAGCAAATATAGCACATATCCATAGAGTATGAACTAAAGAGTTAGTTTAATTTTCTCACACTGTTCTCACAGACATATCTTCTCCAAGGCTCGACCGAAAGGAGAGAACTGTGTCGCATGCAAATGGTATGAAAATTAAACACTACTGTCGACGTCCACTGGGGGTCAGTAATGTCAATAAAACAGGACGCATGACTACTGGCAATCCTTGACAATTGATTTGACTGTGTAAATCCTTTGTAAAACACAGCGAATGAGTTGGTTAGCAGAATGAAACAAAACCAAACTGGCATGCCAGTCCTTCTCCCCACAGCGTTTAAGCAGCCTCTCGGTGCAGATTCAGTCCTTGTCAAAGCACGGCCTGAACAGCTCTGCGGATATGCACCCATACTCAGTAGCAGAGAATACAGAATTTAAGCACGTGCTTAAAAATATGCACAAAGTGCTTGCGCACTGCTATAATGTGTCTTCATCGTTGCATGTTAGTCAGTTCATTCTTGTAAAAATGAAAACAAGCTACAGTTGCTCAGTCAGATTACTGACATTTGTGCTATTTGTTTATGCTATTTATTTTTTTGAATACAGCATGCCAGTATTTGAGCGCCTTAAATGTTACAGTAAGAATTATGGCCAATGAGCCACTGTTGAACATTTATAACGTAAATATCTCAAAACATATGATGAAATGCTATTTTCAAAATATATTTGTTTCTCCTGCAGTATTTAACACGTACTGAACCATGACCCCAAAACCCAGGTACATACCAAACCATGAATTTTGGGTACCGTTACACCCCTGATATAAAGGAATCATTTCAAAACCAATGCCTGCAAGAAAGGAAACACATAAAAGAAAAACTTCAATTCTTCAAAAACAGCATTCTTCGAAAAGTTGTGAGCTTTAATTTGAATGAAATAATTTGTAGTTAGTAGGAGATTTCTCGTCAGGTTAAAAGCTGTCTCACAAGACTGTTGACAGTTTTAACACAGTCTCATCCCACACATCAATATTCCCACGCAGTAAAATACAAATGTATAAGTGATAAGCTCGAATCGCAGAGCGAATCCACTCAATCCAGCTGATACGAAACAAAAGCAATTAAAAATTAATTAAATTAATTAAAAGCATTATAAAAATGGTAAACAGAAATAAACTATATTCAATGGAGCAGTGCTATGAATCTGAGTTTAAGAGTTTTGAGTCTGATAGCTTGGGGGGAAAAGCTGCTCTGCAGTCTGGTGGTGCGGCAGCAGAAACTTCTATATGTCTTCCCAGAAGGCAGCAGGGTGAACAGGCTGTGGCTGGGTGGGTACTGTCCTTTAGTATCCTTTGGGCTCTGCAGACACCTCACCTCACCGATATCACTGATGTTCAGGAGATGGGTACCAATGATCTTCTGAGCAGTTTGAATCCCCCCCTGCAGAGCCCTGCCAGGAACCTGAAACTGTTCACCTGCTCCACCTCAGCTCCACTGATGGAGACAGGAGTGTGTCTTCATCTCTTTTTTCCTGAAATCAACGATCAGCTCCTTAGTTTTGCTGACGTTGAGCAGTAGCTTGTTCTCTGAGCACCAGTCAAGTTGAGGGTTTCTGTCGTGGGCGTACAGCGTGAACAGGAGGGGGCTGAGCACACGGCCCTGGGGGGCTCCGGTGTTGAGCACTAGAGTGGAGGAGGTGAGTCCACCAATCCGAACTGTCTGGGGTCTGTTTGTGAGGAGGTCCAGTATCCAGCTGCAGAGTGTTGTGTTTAAACCCAGAGTGCTGAGTTTGCTGATCAGCTTCATGGGGAGATTGTGTTGAACGCTGAGCTGAAATCCACAAACAGCATTCTGACGTAGGTGTTGTTTTTCTCAAGGTGTGTGAGGGCTGAGTGGAGGGCAGTGGAGATGGCATCCTCTGTGGATCTGTTGGTTCTGAAAGCAAAGTGCTGAGGGTCCAGGCTGGCTGGGATGTTGTTCTTTATGTGCTGAAGAACCAGTTCCTCAAAGCACTTCATCAGAAAGGGGGTGAGAGCCACAGGGCGGCAGTCGTTCAGACCGGACACTGCAGACTTTTTAGGTCCAGGATTGATGGTGGCTGTCTTGAAGCAGGTGGGAACCCTCTCCTGAGACAGTGAGATGTTGAAAATGTCAGTAATAACATCAACTAGCTGATTGGCTCTGGTTTTTAGTACACGGCCCTGGATGTTATCAGGCCCAGCTGATTTACTCATATTCACTCTCAGCAGGACTCTCCTCACATCTGCTGTGGATACTGACAGGGGCCGGTGAAATCCACCTTTGCACCGTTCAGCAGCTGGGAGGTTATTAGGAAGCAGAATGAAATACTTTAATATTATATTGAGGGGAGATCTAACTCCTGACCTAACACTACTTTAATTTCAGTACCTTGTAGCATCAACTCCAAATATCACAGAAAAAGTATTCACTGAATTTAACAAAAAGTGCATTGAATTACAATCTCTATCTCTTTAACTTGTATTAGTGTCCTCTCTGAATCCTGGAAGTAGCCTGTTTTATAACCCAGAAGAATGTGAAAACACAATGTTTGATCAAACATATTAATTATGTGAACATAGGTAAACTCTTAGGGCAGCTTACTCTGAAATTAATTTACTTTTATTCATTTAGCTGACACTTTTATCCATTATCATGATAGTCTACCCATCAGTTGTTGAAAGATTTCACTAAAAGCCATAAATGTCAACCTGCTGCTGATGCTAAAGAAAAAAAAATCAAGGGAATCCCTAATGTCGGTAGGTTTCTTTCTCTCGGGGACCATGAATGTTTGTATCAAATTTTATGGCAATCCATG